GGCTGAGGGAGTTGGGCTTGTTCAGCCTGGAGAAGAGAAGGCTGTGGGCAGAGCCGACTGAGGCCGTTCAGGGCTTAAAGGGGGCCCAGAGGAAAGGGGGGGACAAGCTTTTTAGTAGGGCCAGCTGGGACAGGAGAAGGGGGGATGACTTTAAACTGAAGCAGGGTAGGTTTAGACTGGATCTAAGGAAGAAATTCTTTCCAATGAGGGTGGTGAAACCCTGGCAGGGGTTGCCCAGGGGGGTGGTGGAGGCCCCATCCCTGGGAACATTCCAGGCCAGGTTGGAGGGGGCTGTGAGCAACCTGATGTGGTTCAAGGTGTCCCTGCTCCCTGCAGGGGGGTTGGGCTGGGTGACCTCTAGGGGTCCCTTCCAACCCAAAACATTCTATGATTCCATGAATTACCCATTGTGGAGATGGCTTTAATGAGTTTTAGAGGCTATATCAGGCATTTGCAGTTTAAAAGAAATCAAAATGTCTTGACTCACTACGAGTTATAATAATTCATGTGGCTGTGGAAATAAAAATCATCAATTACCCTTAATTTTAGTGATTCCTTCAACTTAAACTTACACTGTCTGAGAGTCTGTATTCCTTGTCACCTGTTCTTTCACTCATATATCCAAGTAATCCCAAAAACCCCAGAATTGTCTGGCCTCTTTATCAAAAGTACTGGCAGTGGTATGATCTATCTATGGACCTTAAAGGGTGCTTCTCGCGTAGGGCAGCTGTGAAATCTTTGTTTGTCCCCTACTTGGCCCTGATGCCAGGCTGAGATGGAAAAACTTTTATGATGGTTAGTGACCTGTGAGGGCATGGGGTCTGAAACTCAGATGGTGATGAAAAAATATTTTCCTTGGTAGGAGATGGCTGTGAAGAATGAAGTTGGCCTGATAAATAATCCTCTAAAGATTTCCTGGCTGGAGGGCCAGCCCCGGAACAACCCCAGCACTGTCCTTTCTGACAGTGCTAGTCAGCCTAGGACTTCACAGGTAAGCAGACACAGGCTGCTGTTATCTAAATCTGTTTCTATAACAACCTAAATTTAACAGTGTGCTTTGCATTTATGGTGAGATATGGCCTGACTTTCTGATGAGCCTTTTTGTGCTGAAGCAGTGGCTATTTTAAAGGGCCTTTTGCCTGAGTAGCAGCGCAGCGAGAACACAAGCTATTTGGATGACTGGATCTTTGCACAATCTCACTCTTTCTCTGCCAAGTGAAGAACGAGGATGCTCCTTGCTCAGCCCAGAGCCTCTAATGCCATTCTCCTGGAACTTTTTCTAATGTATTTTGACTGTGGGAATGATAGCTGGTTGAAATGGGTCTCCTAGAAGGCTTCTTCAGAGAGGCTTGTTTACTCGCTGCATTCACAGGAGGGTGAAATTCCAGCGCTGAAAGGAAACCTATATTCTTTGGGTCTGCGGGAAGGAAGAGAAAGCAATCTCAAATGAAAGATCCTTGTAGAGACCTTGTTGTCTGGTTCGGGTCCTCTTTACCACTGTCGTTACTTTGAGTGCGAGGAGTTTGTTAACTCGTAGCTGCTTCCTGTTTATTTCGCCAGCTAATCCCTCTGGAGCTGTTGCTCTTGAATAGCAAGTGTATTCCAATCACAAAACACACGGAAGGCAATAATACCAAGTGGTTAAAACACAGAACCCGATCTGAGGACGTGCTGCAGCGTGTTGTTGGCTCGCCGTTACCCCTTGCTCCTGTGGAGTGGGAGATGTATCCGCTTCTGAAGCATGTGACCTTACACTTTGCTCTTGCACAGAATTTCTCGTGCTCAGCATGTCTTCTGATCTAGTTAGTAATTCCTTGGCTAAGAAGGTGGAAAGGGACCCGAGATCCTTTGGTTATTTGAGTTGAGTGGGGCTTATTCCCCTCTCCTCCTTCCCTGTGGTATAAAGATCAAAAAGATGTAATTGCTGAGAGGACTCCTGCCTTGTGCTCTGCAGGTGCCCTTAGTCTGTGTCTCCATCAGCCTTGTGTGTGTTCACTACCTAAGGATTTTAGCAGCTTGTGAGATTGTTCAGTACGTTCACTCTCCTGACTCTTTGTTAAGTACTTTATTTATAGTATTTATACAACGGAATGCCTTGTTATTCTCGTTCTGCTTAGGGTTGTATGTTTTCACTTGGGATGCATGTTCTTGGTCTGAGCAGCCTGGCCTGAGCAACGTAGTTTCCCAGAAATCTCAGGCAAAGGCAGTTACAACTTCCTAGCCCAGGAGCCAAGCAGATCTGCAGTGGAGACCCAGCGAGAGTCCTGCAGACACAGCAGACTGACAGAGGTGCCCAGAGCATTAGAAGGCAAATTGGGGGGGCGGAAACAGCAGAATCCAATCCAGTTTATTTGAGCACCTCTTGCTAGCAGAGAATGAGAACTGGTTCTGAAGAGCTCATTCATACCTAAGGGGGTTGCTGGTGCAGTTGGAGCTTGGTAGTGGATTCTTGCCTCTGTGGGTTCAAAAGCCCTGGCTTTTGACTGAGTTTATCTTGGCTTGTTTCCATGACCAAAGCTTGTTAGTGTGGAACAGCAGCGTCTGCCTGCTGTGAAGGATTAGCTTGGTGGAGCAGCAAGGGAGAGCAAGCTAAAGCAGCAAATGGTGCTTGTGCTGTGTGGAGGTGGTGACTCACTTCTGTCCAGCACAGCCTCGTCCATCCCATGTTAGCTCTCAAAATGGTGAGGAGTTATGGCCAGTGACTTGCATCTTTTCCCAAGAATTTCACTGCCCATGTTTGTCTGGCCTTTCTATTTTATGTGTAAGCAGCTGCAATTTCTTTGATTGCATTGCAGTCTTGCTGTCCAGGCTAAGACCTCCAAGCTGCTCTGGTTCCTGCTTTTCCTAGTTCTTACTCCAGGCCCTCCCCAAATCCTGTTGCTGCTTCCGCTAGGACGCTTCCAAAATTAGTAATGTGGCAATAGCTTCTCTTGGCTGTACTGCTGCCAGCTGGTTTGTTCTTTGTCCTCAGCTCTTCAACTCTAGGCTATGCAAAATGAGCTTTTTCAGGTATCTTTTGCCACTGCCTCAACCTACTCCCTGCCTCATCCTTTCATACCCAGTCTGGCTTCCCAGCCGTCCGGGTCCACACAAGCCGCACCGGTCTCATTCTGATTTAAGCTGCCCTCACTTCCTATTTGCTGCTCCCTCCGGCTTGCTCCTATTTTTGTCTGAATCCACCCCCATGTTTGCTCCCACTCGGTGCAAATGCAGCTTCTTCCCTGCTCTGCTTCAGAAAACAGCCAGAGACCTGCAGCGTTCTCATGGCAACGCACTCACTACCTATCCGCTTCAGAGCTGTGCCTGCTCCCTGCCTGGGGTAGTCAGCCAGGAGCTGTGCACCAGAGGCTTCAAATAAAGGGCAGCGGCACGCTAACTAGACCAGGGGGGCCTTGGGGGCAGTTCCCAGCTGCAAAGCAAGGCTGATTGGTGAGAAGCGGGGCTGTGAGGAGACGGTAAGCTGCAAGATCCTTGCCTCCACGGTCTTGGTTGGCTTGTTTTCTTCTACAGTAATGGGTGCGTGTTGTCCGGCAGTTCCTGGAGAGCTGCTGGAGCCCAATTACGCTTGCATTGCAAAAGCTGTGGACTGGCCAGGGCTACTCTAGGCTATTTGAGAGCAATGACTGTTGGATTGCTGCGGCTCTGAATGGTTCAAAGCACACAACAGCCGCACGATGCTTTGCCACTGCAACAGTGTGAAGCACTCACTTCTGGGAAGGTCTTCCCTGCTGCTCATTCATTTTGGACCATTCATTCAGCCACATGAAAGTGCTGAGAAAAGCCTTCTGTCTGGCACTCTTGCATCTTTTCTAAGCTCCTTTGAGGTTTCATAGTTTGTTTTGTATTACCAGACTTCACAGCCTGATGTGAATCTAGTAGGTCGAGCCGTCTGTGCCTTCTCTGAAATGCCTTTGTGCACTTTGCTGTGGCCAGCTTCCAAAGCTTATGGTTATCTGGGTGCATGGCAGTTTTGGTTTTTTTTATCTCTTAAAAAGAGCCCTAGTGTCTAATCTAGCTGTGAAAACGGCAAGCATTGGTGACCCCATAGTTTCTGCTGTGTCCTTTTAATAGTTTGCCCTGACCCTGCCTAAAATGTTCTCAGCCCGGCACAGCCCTTCCCACTGTCCAGCTCGCAAGGTAAAGAACTCTGCATTTCCATGCTGGGTCTCGACCTGAACTGTGTACCCTCCCCTCAGGGAAGGGTAACGTACCGGCAGCTCTAGCCTTCTCCCAGCCCAGGAAAGTAGAGCCACGCTGCTTCCCCACCCTCACAAAAACCTGAAGTGGACGGGTCTTGGTTGCTACAGATAAAGGCCCTGTGCTCTTGGTGCCTGGGCTTTTTCTGGCTTGCTACCAATGAAATGAGGCAACATGACGCTTCCAGTCACAGATACATTTATTCTTCCATATCTGTACAGCTGATATATCAGTGCATGCTTCAAGCAGCAGTACCTAGAGAAATTTCTTCTCTGCTAGTAGGATAAATAAACTGCTGTTGCTGTATCACGAGCCTACATGGATGCTTACCTGTTTCCAGGCTGGGCGTGCCAACTGCACTTGAGTTAGGGGAAAAGAAACCCACAGGAGGAAAAAAAAAAAAACCAGAGGAACGGCTTTGATTTTGCATGCTTCAAGCAGCAGTACCTAGAGAAATTTCTTCTCTGCTAGTAGGATAAATAAACTGCTGTTGCTGTATCACGAGCCTACATGGATGCTTACCTGTTTCCAGGCTGGGCGTGCCAACTGCACTTGAGTTAGGGGAAAAGAAACCCACAGGACAAAAAAAAAAAACCAGAGGAACGGCTTTGATTTTTCACATCCAACCATGGTGGGAGAAGAAACACCAGTTTCTGTCTCTTGACCCTTGCCATAGCTATGGCTTTGAGACACAATGCTACTGTCTCCCTGCAAGCTGCCTGCTTATCCACAAATGATGTGTGCCACATCCCTTTCTGTCCGTGTTCTGCAATGTCGCAGCCACATCCCCAAAATAACGAGTCTTTTGGCAAACAATGCCATTCTTCCATGAGGAGAAGACGTGCAGTCTAGAGTGGGAAATTCCCCATGTGGAGAATGGAGACTTGCCCGCAAAGTTCCATCAGACAGTGCTCTCATCTGAGCAGGGAGCCTGTGAGCTTTGCTCCGAGGGACTCCTTGGCAGGGACAAGGACAGTCTGTGGTGGGTAAGGCGAGAACAACAAAACAGGCCACGCACGACAGGAATGCTGCAGTCTCCTTCCTCCTTCCAGAAACTGGCAGCAGCAGGAAGTAAATGTGACGCGTTAAGTGATAAATACCTTCAAATGGCGTAATCTCTTGGGTTCTGTTTCCTGAGGGTCTGCAGAACATCCTCGAGAAGCGATAGCCCCAAATCCACTTTGAAGGACAGGAAGGGATCAGACAGGTCAGGAAGAGCAGTGCCGTTCTGGGAACCCGGCTCTGAGGTCCCGCAGTCTGTAGCCTGGTCCTTGTGGAACTGAGTTTGAGTGGCTTTGTGGTATTGATGAGTAGCACCAGAAAAGGAGATGTCAGAGTGAGAATCTGTGTGGTCGATGATGTTAGGGCAGCTAGAACTGTCCAGGTACAGCCGGGGAGGCTTGGGAGGTGCTTGTGCCTTGGCTAGGTTTTGCTCACTCTGACACGACAGGTAATCAGACTTGTCCTTCAGATCCCTCAAGCATTCCCTCTTCTGGCACTGTCCATCGCTGTCCAGAGTGTGGCTGTTCTGATTCAAGATGATGACTTGGTTGCCCAGCTTTTTGTGTCTCCTGAGTGAGAAACGTCTGAAGAACGTTGTGGACTTAATGGACCCTCTCCGCCAAGTATCCATGCTGATGAAAGGCAACGGGAAGAAGGAAACTGCTGACTCTTCGCAGTCGGGTGTTGGACTTAAGTTGCAGGATCAGCAGCAAGCCACACAACAGGGACAACCTCTTCCTTCCCTGTTCCCGTAGCTGGAAGGAAAACAGAGAGGCTGGTATTGCAGGAAATGCAAACTTCACACCACGTCCCCGTGTTAAGGAGCAATTGGCCTGTCTTAGATATTAGGGAGTCTCCTTCTTCAACGGAGAAGGAATGGCGATGTCTGAGCTTATTAAATCTGTGCTGCAGAAACGAGCTGATGAAGAATAGCAAAGGCACACAGTCACCATGAGAACAGCTTTAATCTAGCATCTAGAACAGAAGGGCACTTTGGTACCATGGTAACCAGCCACCTTCATGGTGAAGGGCACGGTATAAAAATCTCAGTGGGTGGTTAGGAAGGGAGACGGTGACTCAGTCGCGTTGAAGGAAACCAAAGAAATACAGTCAAATGGAAATGTAAAAAGCCACAAAACGCAGATGTAGAAGACAAATGGTAGGAAAATTGAATGCAAAACAGACTTACGCTGTGTCGGAGCAGCACCTGTGTCCAACAGGCGGAGAGGAGAAGCTGCTGAAGCACTCGGAGAACTGTGACCACCACGTTCACCAGTTTGCTGGGACGTCGGAAGAAGCGAGTCCAGGGACGATTCAGCCAGGTTGGACCCAGAACGCTAAAAATCCCCGATGCCTCCTTCTCTTCATGTGCCTCCTGTCACTGCTTCCCAGGCTGCAGCTCCTTGCGCGTATGTATTTGTTTTGAGCCAAGCCCTTGCTGACTCAGCCACGTCAGAAACTGGGTTTTGCACTATTGGTAATTGCCAGGATTGCAGGAAGTAGGTGTGTGGAGTGGCAAGGCACCAGCCCACACGCCGCCTGAGGAGAAGGCAAGCTCCCTTAGAGGCACCCGCAGTGCTTGAGCGAGAATGCCGACTTGTAGCCCGTCTTGAATCGGGCTGTTTCTGCTCTCGGTGCCCTCCCTTCCGCCGCTTGCGAGGGCTCGTTGTGTCAGCAGGGCTCCCAAACGAAGCCAGAAACAACCTCGTCTGTTTTAAATTTAAATCCAGAGCGTGAGGTAGGGATTCAGGTTTGTAAGGGTGATTCATCTGCCTGAGTCCCAGGTAGGCTATTCCATCCCGCCGAGCAAATGGCAGTGCGTGGCTGTGGTTAGTGGACAGGAACTTCGACGAGGCCTCGTTCTGCCGCGGAGGGCTGATACCATCTGCTGCTTTCTCAGACACTGTGAAAATCTTGCTGCGCAGCGCTGAAAGGTTACTTCGTTCATTCACACGGCTCCTAAAATGCCAGTGATGGCGAATTAGTCTCTTCATTTCCCAGGCTAAGTTTCCCATCTATTGTGGGCTACTACTTTGTCCCTGCAGCCAGACACTCTGCAGCTGGAGGAACCACTCTGCTGGTGCATGATAAGAAATTTGCACTTGCCCCATTTTCCTGCAGAATCTTACTTAGCTGTTCCATTGACTTTTCATCCCTTTTATTGTCTATTTAACATGTCCTTAAATCACCACTAAATCTGCTTCCTAGAAAAACGAACATGAAATTTTTTTTTTTCCTTCCATTCACCTTCTGTCAAGATGCTGTTATTTCTACCTGAACTGTCAGGCAAATGAGATGGATGTTTCCAAGCATCGCAGTGCTTTGAATACATCCAAAATAGTGAGGCCACCTACTGATGTGAAACGCTTCTTGAAAGCAGAGTGCCAAACCCACCGTTTTGCTCCACGATAGCAGCTGTCATCTGCTGCCTACATTTATTAGGTAGAGTCTGCAATCACCACTTGGTTGACGTGACGGCTGCTACCACACACCACAGAAAGGCTCCAGGAGCTTTTGAGAACGGAAACGCTCTCGTCTCAGGTTTGGGAACATACCTGGTGGTTTGCTTTCTGTACCTACTTCCGTGACTAAACCACAGAAAGGTTTGGCTGGGTTTTTCTTTATGGCATCAGCCTGTATAACGGGTGAAGTGTACGCGGGACTCTGTGCACCGGCGCTGTGCTTGCAGGGCGAGCTTGCCATCCAAAAGAGCCAGCCACCGCGAGGGAAGCCGTGCTTCCCCATCCAGCCTCGGGAGCAGGGAGCAGCTCCAGCAGCAAGGGGGTGGTTGAGGCTCCCGTCTGCCCTGCTCTGTCTCGTCAGTAAGGCCGTTACGAAGCAGGCTGTTTTCTGCCAGCCAGGCAGCTTTTGCACCTTCCCCGATTTCTCTGGGCTCGTACTGCTGTGAACTCGCCTTCCTGACTCGCACGTGCGTGTGGCGAGCGTGGCTTATGGAAAGGGGGGGCTGGGGTCCTTGACAAGGTTTGTGTTTGTCTTCTGCTCCTAGGCGTCGGTGGTATCGGAACGGGACTACGAGAGCCTGGTGATGATGCGGATGCGCCAAGCAGCAGAGAGGCAGCAGCTTATCGAACAGCTCAAGCAGGAAGATGAGGAAGAGTCTCACACCTAGCGTGAGAGTATGGATTCTCCCCGCCCCATCATTCTTCATTTCCAAAGCTGTTTCTTAAATTAAGTCAATAAACCTCCTTTTTTAAAACTGTTGTAGGAATACAGACTCCCAGTGACTGCAGCCCTTATCCCTTTCCAGAGCGGAGTTAAAAGTGGCTGCGTAAGCTTCAGAGGAAGTGTGCTAACCGCTCGGTCTCCGCGCTCACAGCGGACAGGGTGAGAGGTGCTGTCAGAGCACCAAACCCTGGAGCTTCTTTTAATTCCCGAAAGCTTGTTCAGGAGCTGTGGATCCAGAGGCTTTGGCAACAACCGTTTAAAACAACCCACAGGAAGGCATTGGTCTCTTTAGAGAAATGTTTTATTGGTGTTACCCCTACAGCAGGATTGATACAGTCCCAAACAATCCAGCATTGCAGTTGCTGTTAAGACTACAGAGCCCGTACCTGAAATATTCACAAGACCTTTCCGTGCTGTTCTCAGGCTGTTTCGGGAGCAATGTGTTACGCTTGAAGGGCGCTCTTGGGGCTGGAAGTCTGGTGATGGTGCTGACCACAGCCCCGTTTGGGAGAGAAGCACGCCTTGCTGCCGAGGGAAGGGATTCTCCAAGAGCACTGCGTAGGTCTAGCAGTTCCCGCTTACGTTTCAGGGATGAGGTGGTATGCTGGCCGTGCCTGGCCTCCCCTCCCCGCCCCCCCGGGGCCTGGGGGAAGGCATGCCCCGAACTCGCAGCTTGGCACGCACCTCGCCGGGGCGGCCCTGAGGAACAGGCAGGCACGTCTGTGCTTTGAGCTTCCTCCAGTGCATGCTAATAGGAGATGATTAAAATGTGAAGAGATGGTGTTTGCCAGGCTGCCATTCAGACGAATGCCG